CCCCGGCCGGCCCGGCCCCCACGCGCGGGCCCCCGCAGGACTCCCTCTGCCCACCAGCCCCTTCTCCCCGCGCCCCACGCAAGGCCGGGGGCGGATGCACGGCCCTAAATTCCCACAATCCCCAGGTCGCTCCCCCACTTTGCTTTTAGCCTCCCCTCCCTCCCCTCAGGAGCCCTGGAGGCGACCCCTGCACCACCCAAGCCCCTCCAACCTGGGGAACGGAGCTCACAGACACCGGGAAGCACCCACCACCTGCCCCCTTGGTCCCAATATGGGCTCAGATGCCTGGCTTCTGCCACCGGGCACCACCCAACATTTGACCTTGGCACATTACCTCCCCTCCCGGTTTCCTTCTCTGTGGCCCAAGGGGCCTGAAGTAGGAGTGTTCCAGGGTTCCATCCAGCTCTAAGATTCTGTAGCTCAGTTTCCACATCTCCTCTCCCCTCCTCCACTCCCTGGGGTCACATCTCCTTTTCCAAGGGCAAATGTCTTTGGAAGGAACTGCTGGATCCAAATTTGATCCTCTGGTGTCTGGCTGAAACTGGGCACTAGCACAAGGCTACATCCATTACAGCCCCCCAATAATATGTGTTGAAGCCATAGTGAAGCCAGGTCCCTGAATCCTTGGGCAGAGGAAGAGGATGTGGGGGCAGAACCGGGGAGGGAGCTAATGGGCAGGCAGAGGTGAGCCAGGCAGCAGAGAGGGGTGTGGGGGACAGACAGGGTGCTGGAAATGATGGTGCTCTGCGTGGGAAGGAGGTTTAACCCTGTGACCTTGGACATGTAATATACCCTCTCCCACCCCTGCCTGCCCTCATTTGGCTCTCAGCCCAACCCCAAAGAAGATTTTCTACATTCAAAGCCACACAAGGGGAGAGGGGAGGGCAGCTGGGGTCTGTGAACACCGACTGGCTTTGCAGCATGCTAGACCAGACGTCTCCATACCAGCCTTCCCGCAACAGAGACGCAGAGAGGCTTATTACCTGGCCACAGTCACAGCTGGGAAGCAGGCTGCCCATCCGGCATCAGGGGTGTGTACGAGGTGACTGTCAGAGCCACAGCCATTTAACTGCCCCCCACACCCCCACTCCCCCACCCCCGGCCGCTTACACTGAAAGAAATGTGCATGGCCTCCCCACCCTGCAGGGCGTTGAGAGAACAAAACAAGACGAGACGCCAGGGAGAGTCAGCTGTGTGTAAGTGGAACCTGTGAACTGTGCTCCAGAACTCGGGGTTCGAGACCCATCTGTGACGGATCGAATTGTGTCCCCACCAAATGTACATGTCCAAGTTCTGATACCGTGACCTTATATGGAAATGGCATAGTTACAGACGTTCAGGTGAGGTCATACTGGGGTAGGATGGGCTCCTTTTCCAATATGACTGGTGCGGTCATAAAAAGGGGAAATGTGGACACAGATGCGCACTCAGGAAGGACCCCATGGGAAGATGGAGTCAGCCTGCCACAAGCCAAGGAACTGCCAGAAGCTGGGAGAGAGGCCTGGAACACATCCTTCTCTGGCATTTTCAGAGCGAACACAGCCCTGCTGACACCTTGATCTCAGACTTGCAGCCTCCAGAACTGTGAGATAACGAATCTCTGTTTTAAGCCCCTTAGTTTGTGGTACTTCGTTACAGCAGCCCTAGCCTTTACGCTCCGAGCCAGGGGACTTGGTTCCAAGTCTCTACCTTAAGGATTGTTTACACAGGGCCCTCACCTCCTGAGAGATACTCAAGAACCTTGGAGCCTTTCCCAGTCGGGAACGTTGCAGAGGACTCTCCCCGGTCTACCTCTGACACCTTGGTCCTGCTCATGGCCCTGGTCCCCGGCTTCCAGGCTACAAACTTGGACAGCAGCTACTTGAATACCAAGACAGCCTGAGGAGGGTCCTGCCAACCTGGGACCCCCAGTGTACTGGGCCCTGAACAACGTTGCCCTAAAAGCACCACATGACTCATGCCTCTGAGGCCCCTACCTTCCCCCAGGGAGCCTGCCGAGCACAGGCCCTCACCTTCCTGGACGCCTCAGGCTCCCATCCTCTTCCCAGCTGGGGACTCCCCCACCCCACCCGGAGTCAGCAGCTTTGGTCTCCAGCCTCAGAAGTCCCTCCCCTTATCCCGCAGTTGCTGGGATGATGGGTTGATAGCCCTCAAAGAATCCTTAGATGCTCATGTTCATCTCTCCTTCCAGGGTGGAGCTGGAGGAGATGCTGACGGCCACCAGTTGATTCATGCCAACTCATCCCATTGTTAGACATCAGTGAATGCTTCCATCATGCCCACTCAGATGTCCCAGCCTCCTGGAGGCCTTTCCAGCTGTGTTCTCCACCACCTGTAATCATCAGTCCCCAGCACAGTGTTCCCGATGGAGTCTTTATTCCTGTGACAAGAGTGTTTCTTCCATACACAAAGGATGGCCAGTGTGTGTGAGAGACAAAGGGGACGGGAAAGGCGACAACAAAGGTAGCAGCTCAGAGGACCCCGCTCGCACCCTCTTCCTCGGCCCAGGCTGACTTGAATGTCCCCACCCTGCATGCTGAGGCCCAGAGCGCTCATCTGACACATGCAGCTCCGCCGAGGTCCGTCCCAGATGTCCAAGAGCCCAGGAGCCATCCCACCACACTACCCGGATGTGGAGACGCAAGCACAGCGTCCTCTGGGGTCCTCATGGGCCAGGAGCCCTCTGCGATGGGTTCCTCTCCTAGCCCTTCCCTGCAGTCGCCGTCTTGGGATCAAGCATGTTGGGAATGAGACTGACGTAGAGGATATTCGTCCTCTGTGGCCACCCAAACCTCTGCAAACCCTCTATCCTTTGGTCATGTCCCATGGGTGCGATCTCTCCAAGGTCAAGGCCACGTGCCCCTCGCAGGACTCCCTCGAAGTTAGTTAGGGCACAGACGCCACTTGGGTTCCACCCAGCGGACTTGCCTGCACAAGACCTGAAATCGGGAATGAGCGCTGTGCACCTGTGCGAGCCCAGGAGCAGGGGTCGTGCGGGTCCTCTGAGGGCAGCTGTGGTGTTTCCACTAGAGAAGTTCCACGGACATGGCTGGTCATTACTCCTAGCTCTCTCTTCCTCCCCAGAACACCGCCCACTATTCATTAGTTCCTTGAATAAATTCCTTTCCAGCTTAGAGTGGCTGTTGTCCGCAGCTCAGCCTTCCGACGGAATTGGGGAAATGGCTCTGAGTCCAGGGCACAGGCTGAGCCGGCACCAGGTGAGAGAACGGCCATCTTTTTTTTTTTTTTAAGATTTTATTTATTTATTTGAGAGAGCACTCAAGAGAGTACACGCAGGGGGAAGGGGCAGAGGGAGAGAGAGAAGCCGACGCCCACTGAGCAGGGAGCCAGATGCAGGACTCGATCCCAGGACCCTGGCATCATGACCTGAGCCGAAGGCAGACACTTAACCATCTGAGCCACCCAGGCACCGGGAGAATGGCCATCTTATTAGCAGGCCTGGGCAGTCCCTGCCTCTCTTACTACTATGTCACTCCTCACCAACTCCATTCCTTAATCTTTTTTTTTTTAAGTTTATTTATTTGAGGGGCCTGGCTGGCTCAGGGTGTCCTGAGTTTGAGCCCCACCCATGTTGGGTGCAGAGATTACTTAAATAAATAAACTTTAAAAAAAAAAAAAAACAGCCCCTCCATTCCTTAATCTTAATGCCAACACAACGATAACTTCATTACCTTAAATGTAGGTAGTGCTGTCCAGGTTACAAACCACTTTGATATTCATAATCTCATTAGTTTACAGCAACCCTCTGAGGCAGAGTGTCTTAATCCCATTTGACACGCGAGGGAGAAAAAAAGGCTCAGAAAGTTGAAGTGATTTGCCCATGGTCCAAGGCTCCGTAGGCAGCATGGCCAAGAATTGAACCCAGGGGTGGGCTGCCTGGCTGGCTCAGTCAGTAGAGCATACATCTCTTGATCTTGGGGTTATAAGTTTGAGCCCCATGTTGGATGTAGAAATTACTTAAAAATTTAAAAAAAAAAATTTTTTTAAATGAAACCCAGGGGTTTCTGGTTTCATGTGTAATATTTATCCCCAAACATTACAGTGCCCCCCAGTCCCCACCACCATGTCCTGGTACCTTTTCCTGCAACTATTGAACTTCCCTTGCCATGAGCACAAACTGAAATATACTGCTAACTTCCCAAGTGAATTTTTTAAGGAGATTCCATCTTTGCTACTAGAAGCCGTACAGAGGAGTGGCTAAGCATGAGACATCCAGAGCCAAGTCGCCTGAGTTCATGAGCAAGTTATTTACCCTCTCTGGGCCTCAGATTCCCCATCTGTAAAATGGTAATAATAATGGGGTTGTTGAAAGAATGAAATAAGTTCATCCATGTAAAGTGCTTAAAACAGTGCCTGGCACATAGTAAGGGCTCGATAAATGTTCGCTAGCTTCCTACTATTAGAAGCCTAAGAGACAAAGAGAGCTGAGGGGCTCAGTGGGTTAAGTGTCTGCCTTCGGCTCAGGTCATGATCCCAGGGTCCTGGAATCGAGTCCCGCATCGGGCTCTCGGCTCAACAGGGGAACCTGCTTCTCCCTCTCCCTCTGCCTGCCCCTCCCCCTGCTCTCTCTGTCAAATAAATAATAAAATCTTTAAAAAAAAAAAAAAGAATTTAAGAGACACAGTACTGAAAAGACCTCAGGTAACTTAGAATATGAAAAATGATAAAATGTACACACATGAAGTGGACATTGCCTTACACTTACAAGGACAATTTAGCCTTCCAGCCAAACTGAAGATACTAGTCATGTGAATTCCGAGAAGACAGAGAGATCCAGAACAGTTTTTACCTCCACCAGGATAGATTCTGACCCTCCTTGGCCAGTGAACCAGTCTTTGCATTTGTAATCCTCACTCCGCAGACTGAAGAGTTTCTGGAAGGTGGGAGGGTGTCGGCTCAGCCCACAGTTGCCATTCAGACTGGCTGAGAATCTCTTCTGGCTGAGAGTATCCCCTCCCTGCTCCCCAGAGCTGAGCACCCAGTGCCATTTGCCGTTGACTGCCTTCATCATGAGTAAGACCTTATTTTTACAAGAGAGATAACAGGGCTTGAGAAAAAGCCCCAAACTCTGGAGTTAGGGAGGCTAAAATAAAAATAAAATACAGTTCAGTGCTTGGCACAGAACAGATGCTCAACAAATGTCATTCTTATTTACTCTTGCCATTGGCCTGCAGTGGTTTATCCCATTTGAACCAGTGTCCCTCAGTAAACCTGGACTCAGATTTGAAACAGATCCAATCTCAGGAGGGCACTGCCTATCCCAGAAGGTTTTCGCACCCCTGCAGAGCCCACCTTTCAGCTCGGATGCACAGATTCTTTGTGGCTGGACTGACATTTTGACATATAAAACTATGTCCTTTCTTTCTGCTCCCCCAACCATCTGAGCAGGTAGCCTGCTTTGAATTTTGTTGGGTTTTTTTGAGAATGGATAGGACAGAAGCCCGCATGTCTGTCTTTTGTTCACCCAGAGCCAAAGTCTCAGGAAACCTAGGGAGATTGTAGAGGAGGAAAAAGAAAGGGTTAGCAAGACATGCAGTATCTTGGCCAGAAGTGGGGAAGAG